GTTTGATGGTGAGGAGCAGTTCAACATCAGCGTGAAGACGCTTCTCTCTCGGCTGCCCAAACAGCGCTACTTCAAATGCATCTGTGAGCAGATCTACCACTTCAAGATCTCCAAAAGGTACTGAGCTGCTTTTCCAGCATCAATAACTGTAATGTTCTTACAGCGAAACATGAACGTAATCAGCATTTTTTATGCTTAGGGGAAAGCGTGTGTATGCATTGTGATACTCTCCAAAATGGCTCTATATTCTGAATGTTTGTTCATATTTCGTTCACACCGATTTAAACATTTTACACCTTATAAACATGGTGAAAATGTGTTTGTTTTCTGTCTGTTGACAATATTTTCTGAATTGAGTGATAAAAAGAGAAATCCAAAATTCCCTCTAAAATCTCTATGAAATGTTAATATGATGATGAAAGTTTAATTTACTAGTTTAATTTAATTTACTTAATTTAGTAGTCGTATGTATTATATGGAGCCAGTTTTATGTTGTAATGCTTAATATTTGAAACAATCCAATGAAGTAAACATCTCATCTTTGGGAATTTAAGACAATAATAATTTTAATACGTTTTTTAAGAACATTCTTTTCAAGAGTTTGAATTTTTCTTGAGTTTTGTCTTTACACATTCTTAAGAAGAAGAGAGATACAATTTTTTAAGAATTCAAGATATTATTAAGAAAATAAGAAAATTCTGGAAGCGTGTTTCCACAATGGAATTAAAAAAAAACATGCAACTTTTGATCTCACTATTCAGATTGTTTACAAATATTTTTTTACAATTGTGAGTTTACAATACGAGTTTACATCTCACAATTCAGGCTTTTTTTTTTTTTTTTTTTTTGCATTCGGTGTAGGCCTAATTCTCAAGAATCTCGCAATTCAGGCTTTTTTTTTTTTTTACAATGGCGAGTTTACAATCTGAGTTTACATCTCGCAATTCAGACTTTTTTTTTTTACAATTGCAAGTTTACAATACGAGTTTACATCTCGCAATTCAGATTTTTTTTTACAGTTGCGAGTTTGCAATGTGAGTTTACATCTTGCAATTCACTTTTTTCTTACAATTGTGAGTTTACAGTTTACATCGCAATTCAGACTTCTTTTTTTTTTCAATTGTGAGTTTACATCTCGCAATTCACTTTTTTTTTTACAATTGCGAGTTTACAGAGTTTACATCTCGCAATTCAACCTTTTTTTAAAATTGTGAATTTGCAATATGAGTTTACATCTCGCAATTCAGACTTTTTTTTTTACAATTGCGAGTTTACAGTTTACATCTCGCAATTCAGACTTTAATTTTTTTTTTACAATTGAGAGTTTACAATCTGAGTTCACATCTCGCAATTCACTTTTTTCTTACAATTGTGAGTTTACAATATTAGTTTACATCTCGCAACTCACTTTTTTTTTTTTACAATGGCGAATTTGCAGTATGATTTACATCTTGCAATTCAGCCTTTTTTTACAATTGCGAGTTTACAGAGTTTACATCTCGCAATTCAGACTTTTTTTTTTTTCAATTGTGAGTTTACATCTCGCAATTCACTTTTTTTTTTACAATTGCGAGTTTACAGAGTTTACATCTCGCAATTCAACCTTTTTTTTAAATTGTGAATTTGCAATATGAGTTTACATCTCGCAATTCAGACTTTTTTTTTTACAATTGCGAGTTTACAGAGTTTACATCTCGCAATTCACTTTTTTCTTACAATTGTGAGTTTACAATATTAGTTTACATCTCGCAACTCAAGACTTTTTTTTTTTTACAATGGCGAATTTGCAGTATGATTTACATCTCCAATCTGAGTTTACATCTCGCAATTCACTTTTTTTTTTCAATTGTGAGTTTACAATCTGAGTTTACATCTCGCAATTCACTTTTTTTTTTCAATTGTGAGTTTACAATCTGAGTTTACATCTTGCAATTCAACCTTTTTTTACAATTGCGAGTTTACAGAGTTTACATCTCGCATTTCAGACTTATTTTTTACAATTGCGAGTTTACAATCTGAGTTTATATCTCGCAATTCAGACTTTTTTTTTTACAATTGCGAGTTTACAATCGGAGTTTATATCTCGCAATTCTGACTTTTTTTTCGTAATTCTGGGTTTACTTCTCTTGTATTTTTTATTCCGTAGAAAGAAAAAATACAAAAGATAATGGTGAATTTTTCTTTCCTCTTTTTTTTTTTCCTCACGTGTTTATATCTCACAACTTGGACTTTGCTTCTCAGAATTGTGAGTTTATACAACATCTATATATTTTTGACACATTTTTTTCTCAAAATTGCAAGTTTGTGGTTTTTATTTCTGTGGAATCAATCTTCCATAGAAAGTAGTGTTTAAATATTTTATTCTGAAGGACTAACGTCAGTCTTTTTAAGCTCAGGAGTAACAGATCTGAAACAAATATTTGCCAAAAGGGCAAAAAAATAAACTTACTGGTTCTTGTTTTAATTTCTGAAATCTCATGACGTCGTGCTGAAAGTCCAGAACTGAAGAAAATCAAATATCATGTTCTCTTGATTTGTTCAGCATGCTGTGGAATCTGAGTTTGAGCCGTTCTGTGTGTTTTCAGGGTGGCTGTGGTGGTCCTTTACAGCTACAGAGACGATTATTACAAGATCCTGCTCTGATCTCTGATTTCACTGCATTTTAAAGCTTTACAGATTCTGTCGTTAAACCAAGCGGATTCGATGCCAAAGGCTGATGAGCCTCATCTGAAGGGTCCAGTCATCAATCATATTATTAACGATTCCTGTGAAATCACGTGATTGAATACTGTACAGTCCACAACTGAAGGAAATAAAATATTTTCCTGTATCACATGTGGTCTTGCTTTTTTTAAACATGCAAAATTGAATGTAGTTATATTAAAATTCTTATTACTGTTATAGCAATAGTATATATTTTGAATTCACTTTTAATATTTTCAATTTTTTTTCTTTTCTTTTTTTTTATTTTAGTTTTTGTTACTAATTAGGTTTAATGTGTTATTTGGTTTGTTCAAATTTCAGTTAATTGCCAGGGCAATGTTTCTAATTTTCATTAAAAAAAAATTCACGTAATCAGACATATTATTTCAGCTTTATTTTCAATCAACAAAAATGTTTTGAGTTCATGTGCCTCAGTTTTTGAGTGAACAAAACATTTGTGGATAATTTTGTCAATGTTCATAAGCTCTGATTAATAATTTTAAATATTGTAAATATATTTATAAAAATTATATATAATTTTAATATTAAATACAAAATATGTGCTAATTTAAAGAAAAGTTGATGAAAAGATTGAAGCCAATATTTGCCAACAGTAAAGTATAACGAGAAATGTATAAGAAATATCTGTAGGCTTATAAAATTACAAAATGAAGAGTTTATTTGCAAAAAAATTACTAATTCCGTTTTTATTTTCATAAATCATGTTTTTTATTGTTATGTTTTTGTGTTAGCTGTATTTTGTATTATTATTTAATCATGATAATAATTGGAATGCAGGATTAAAAAAACATGATTTTTGAACATTTTTAAAAACTGAGTTATCTGGTTTTGCAAATTAACTCTTCAAATATTATCAGATTTTTTGGGTACAAAGTCCGTAAGTTTCAGTCCAATGTGAAAATATTAACTAGCATTTTCAGGAAAAAGAAAATCCAGGTCAAAAAATGACGAACACAATAATTAGGCTTAACAAACATTCACACAATTCACTTTTATTCCAAAAACAAGTGTGTATGTTACAGCCGAACATCTATTGGATCATATTGACTCGTGACAAAGCTCAAATAAATAATAGCTGATATAAAGCAGACCGACGGTTTATAAAATCTGTACAGCAGCTTTGGGTTTCTCTGCAACTTCACAGACCAGACACAAATCAGTCACTCGCTAGAGTTTAGGATTAATAAATAAATGTGAAAAAATAAATAAGATACTTTCCTCTACTATTTTTATGGTTTTTGTACATTTGCTGTAATTCCCCTGCGAGCGACTCAGACTTAAACCAACTATAATCATCATGTAATTGATTCAGACTATAATTAGTCCCATATTTAATGTTGTTCACAATGCAAAACATCTACCTCAGCCCATTGATTGAAACTAAACTGCAAAAATGACATGTGACCTCTGACTGATAAAGATCTGCCAATCACAACAGAGCTCATTTACATATCTCTTAAAGATACAGTATCAAAAACAGCCGGTTTAACAGAGAGCGCAATTGAATGAATGAAAACAAAAACTTTATGGACATGAATATAGCTCCCTACAAAACTAGGGCCAAAAACTGATTTCTTGAGAAGCAAATAAATGTATATTGAATCACAGTTATATATAAATAGTAATATTTATATATAAAACATTTATTTTAATATAGAAATATAAAATATGAATACACCTATCCATAACTTACACTACCAGTCAAAAGTTTTTGAACAGTAAGATTTTTAATGTTTTTAAAGACGTCTCTTCTGCTCACCAAGCCTGCATTTATTTGATCAGAAATACAACAAAAGCAGTAAAATTGTGAAATATTATTATAATTTAAAACAGCCGTTTTCTATGTGAATATCTGTTAAACTGTAATTTATTTCTGTGATCAAAGCTGTATTTTCAGCATCATTACTCCAGTCTTCAGTGTCACATCCTTCAGAAATCATTCTAATATGCTGATTCGCCGCTTAAGAAACATTTATTATTAAGTAGAATTAAGTAGAATTTGATGAATAGGAAGTTCAGAAGAACAGCATTTATCTGAAATAGAAATCACTTGTAACATTATAAATGTCTTTATCATCACTTTTGATCAATTTAAAGCATCCTTGGTAAATAAAAGTATTAATTTCTATAATTTCTTTCCC